CCCCCCGTGAAGGCAGGAAGAAATCCTCCCGGCTGCCCCCTCCTCCATGTCCGCAGCGGCCCATCCGGCCAGAAGCCCCTCTGTCCCCTGGCAGCCGGGCGATGAGCTTGGCCCTGGCCCTGGCAGGCTGCCACGCCCTGGCTTGCCAATTAGTGGGACTCAGGTGGGAGGGAGGGAGGGAGGGAGGGGGAGGGGCACCTCTGGAGGCAGGAGGAGAGCCAGGACAAGGAGGAGGAGGAGGAGGAGGAGGAGGAGGAGGAGGAGGAGGCACTGCCTGTGCCAACAGAGGCGTGAAAGGCCTGTCCGTCTCTGCTCAATTGACGGGAAGCCTTGAAACGATTTCTGACAAGCCAAACGGTCCCCGGAAGGGACACGCAGCCTCGTTTGCACCTGTCAAGCCGGCTTTGTAGCTCAGGCGGCTGGGTGGATTTCACGCAAGCCCCCCCCCCGGGCCCCCTCCCGCTTCTCCTTGCTCTAGAGGCCCCCTCTCCTCCCCCAGAAGGGCTGGAAGGTTCTCCCCAGGGGGCTGGGTCCCAAGAGCCTCGCCAGGTCCTTCCACCTGCAGGAAGCAGTGGGCCCAGGACTTTCCCCTCCCCAAGAGGAAGGGGGGCGGGAACCCAGCCATGGGGTGGGGGGCGCACTGGGGCCCCATCTTTGGAGGGGGAAGTACCCATTGAGATGGCGCCCCGTGCCCTGGTGCCCCCGGGGGTGGGGTGGGGGGTTCATACCGGAAGACCTCCAGCTCCCAGGACTCCAGGATATTATAACCCATTTGGAGGGGGGGTCTCCTCCTCCGGGGGGGGGGGGGACTTAGGATGTGACAATGGGCCTTCAGGAGCTTAAGAGGCACCGAGCACAGGCCCCTCCCCTCCCCCCGGGTGGCAGAGGAGTGGGGGTGGGTGGGAGGGGGCCCCTCCCTGCAGGACCCTCCTGGGGCAGCCCCTGGCAGGAGCTCCAGGCCTGGGGTCTCCATCCAAGGGGGGCTCTCGGCAGGGACACCCGGAGAAGAGAGGCCAGGGTGGAGACCCAGCGCCCCCCTCACCCCCCTTCCCCCACGCGCCTCCCCAGGTCCAGGAGCTGCAGAGCCCCCCTCGTGCCAGCCAGGTGGTGAAGGGCTGCGTCAGGGCCTGCCTCAACTCCACCTATGAGTACATCTTCAACAATTGCCACGAGTTGTACAGCCGGGAGTATCTGGTGGACCCAGTACGTAGCGTCTCTGTGTGTGTCTGTGTGTTGGGGCTGTCTTTGAGGATGTTAACACCCCGCCCCCCCGGTGAGCCCCTGAGATGGGGAGGGGGCCCTTTCAGCCGAAGGAGACCTTCTGAGCCCGGGTGGCTCACTGGCCAGAGAGCAGGAGGGCAGGAGAAACGCTGCACTGCCACTGCCAGCAGTTCGATCCTGACCAGCCTTTTCATTCAGCCTCCCGTCCTTCCGAGGTGGGTAAGACGAGGACCCAGATTTTGGGGGGGAGGGGG